CTTATATGCGGATTTGATTTTTTTCTTTTACTATCCTACTGATCTCTTTAGTGAACCATATAGTTTTTATCTTCCGTTTTTATTCTTACTAACTTATACATATAACCTGACATATAATCTAGTTGCCTCGTGGTTGGTAGACTTTAACAGTGCCCATTGATTACTTACTCCTGTTGTTTTACTCCAACCTTTCAACTAATTTTTTCAGAAATTCACCCATTTCAGCAAAATCGTCTTTTTGAAATCTAAAACTTTTTTGTTTTTGTATATTATTTTTCAGTTTTTGTTTTAATATCAAACCGAAGACATTGGTGATCCCTATAACCCAAAATTTCTCCCACCTCAACATTAGACAGTCGATCTTCGTTTGTCAGTGTTAGGTCTAGAATATGATTGCATCGGGTTTGGACTTTTACTAATTGTTTTAGAGAAAGCCAGTGCTTCCTTTACATCCCTGTTCCTGCTTGTAATAGCAGTTTGAGAATTCCAGTTAATGTCAGGCATGTTGAAGTCACCCATAATCAAAACCTCCTCCTTCATTGTCACTTTAGTTATCTCATCAGTCAACAAGTTATAATCTTTAGTCTGTCCTGGGGGTCTGTATATTACACCAATTCTAAGGGAAGATCCTGCTCTGGTTGGAAGACAGACCCAGAGGGTTTCGAGTATCTCATTTGTTTTTTTAATTAATGTTAGCCTTATGCTATTTTTGACATATACGGCAACTCCACTTCCCCTCTTCCCTACTCTGTATTTCTTGTATAGTGTATATCTTGGTATAGTTATTTCCCAGTCATTTTAATCTTAGAACTATGTCTCTGTAATTGCAACAAGGTTGTCCCTAGACACGTGTCAGCTCGCAAAGCTTGTTGCCTAAACTACGAGCATTAGTGCACATGACATGACAAACGCTGCTATCTACTGCTTTATTTTCACCACCAGAAACTTTAACTGAAGTGACCCCATCAGCCCAGTTCTTAGAAATCCTCACATTTGTTTCAACCTGCTGGGCACATAAATGCTCAACAATCACGTCTGTGCCCCATTTCTCAGTTTAAATGCATGTCCAAAAACTCCTAAATTTCATATTAAGAAGCTCTTCGCCATTGTGTCAGGGATGTAGACCTCTCTTTTGTACAGCTCAATATCAGACCACCAGATAGCATCATGGCTAACATAACCAAAACCTTCAGCTTTGCACCAATCCTTTAACCAAACATTGAACTCTGCTATAGGAAGTACTTTCTCTTGTTGTCCATTAAACACAGGTAAGACCTCTGAAAATGTAACAGTACACCCTAACTGTTAAAGATCCTGTCCAAAAAATTAAAAATATTTCTGTACAGAACACACATCATTTTGGGACAAATTATTTGTGCAAAAGTGCACGACAACATCAACATTGCATTCGTCACTAGATTTTTTCCAGTTTTTTAAGAGGCATGGCGAGTTTTTTGAAGTTGTATTTTTTTTGTCAAAATTTTTCGGAAAATGAAAAAATTAAAAAAATTATTTTCACTATTTTTTTTTTTTACTTACTGTCACCAGTGCAGTACAGCATCATCATATAACTGGCATGGCGGTGAACAGGGACACTTACTGGTGACAGTATGAAAAAAAAATAGTGAAAATCATTTTTTTTAATTTTTTCATTTTCCGAAAAATTATTTTTTTTTTTTATTACATTTTTTTTTATTTTTTTTTAAGATTTTGTTTCATATTTTACTATGACCAAAGTAGTACAATGTTACCATAGTAACATTGTACTACTTTGGGGAAGTGATCAGTATTTTTTTTTTTTTTTTTTTACACAATTTGCTTATAGCAAAGAATTACTTTGCTATAAGCAAGCATTTACCTGAATGAAATCGATTCATTCAGGGTTTTTTTTTTTTGTGCTTAGCTGTGATTTGGCCACAGCTAATCACATGACATGTGCATGTGACCTGCTGTGACCATTCACAGCTAGGCACTAGTATACAATGGATGGCATGAATGAAGCCATCCATTGTATACAACTGTCATGTGACCTGCTGTGATTGCTCACAGCAGGTCACATGGTACCGCCAACGGGGGCCGGTGACAGATCGCGCCGCTGCGCAGCTCTGCAACCGTGCGAACTGCGCGTGTGTGGGAGCACGCCAAATGGCGTGCACCCGGAAAGCTGAAGCAATTTTGCGACCGCCAAACGGCTATACGCCGGGTGGCTAATGGTTAAAATACGCCTTTTATCTCTAACAGTAGCACCAGGTAAACATCTAATTTCCTTTGACACTTTCACATGATTTCCTAAAGAACCTGAATCACCAACAAAAAGAAGACTTCTCTTTTTAGGAACCTTACCCACAGCACTTGCCTGGAATGGAAGCTTAGATAAAACAGTTACTTTTGGCAAAGCAATTTTTTTTCTCAGGGTCCTCCTTCATATTCTTACCATCAGCTACGTTTGCAACTTTTGCATCTGCTTTTAACTCAAACAGAACACTATAGGTTTCAGTGTCACACCAAAAGCTACATGTTAATGGTCCACAGACCTCACTCTTCCTGACCCAACAGTTGTCCACACTGTTCTTCTGGTGCACAGTCTTTGAGAAAGAGGTGGCTTTTTGCAAGGCAGCTCAACAAAAATTGGCTTAGACAGCCTCCTGATCTCAGACTGCAGGGCACTAACCAGTGAATTTAGACAAGCAATGTCATCACGTAGTCTAGAAATATGCATACAAATAGGACAACATCTCAGCTTCCAAAAAGCACCATGAAAAACAAATGCCAAACAAGTACTGCACTGAACTAAACCAGACATTTAAAAAAGATTTACTTGAATTCAAACACAAGTACTAACCAAAGATAGTTGGCTGTTTCCAAACTCCTGCGGTTTTTAATCTGCTGCTGTTCATACTATGCACTTTTGTCCTGCTGCGCTTTTGTATGGCTGCACTTCCAAGGAGCAAAGTCTACAGCTTAAACAGAGTTGCTACCCCTCTTAAATACAACAGATTACCTCTCTTCCATATGCTAATTGATGACACCCAGTACTCAACACCTCAGCAGCACAAAAACAATGACTCCAGTACTTGGTAAACAATCACCAGTAGCAACACAGACCCAATATCAAAGTTTAAAAAAAGCAATTTAAGAAAAAGCAACTTGAAATACTGTAAAGAATTTAGAAATAACTTAACCTTCTGTATCCAGCTACTGGTGTTCAAACTATGCACTTTTTTCTGTCGCACTTTTGTATGGCTGTACTTTTGTATGGCTGCACTTCCAAGGAGCAAAGTCTACAGAGTACTATTACATCCTGCTCATTATAGCTTAAACCTGCAAGGGGGGACTTTTTTATTTTTTGACCGAAATGTAAAATCATATCTTCATTCTCACATTTGTATTCCAAATATTTGTAGCCTACTCTTATTAATCTGAATGATCTTGAAGTTCACAAACTATGTGAAGATCCCCACATATTTACTTCCTTAAATTATGTGATGTGTATTCACTACATCCTGGGAATAAGTATTGCTGTGTCACACTCCACAGAGCCTACCTTCTGAACTACAGAGATTTTTTTTAGGTGCTGAGAGGAGTTTCAGGGGGCGGAGTCAATACAGGATTCACTGGTTGCAGGCAACAAGGTACCATGAGATACATAGTTCTTAGAAAATGATACTAAACCAAAGGAATGAGCAGAGAAGAAGCTACAAAGCATGCTGGGAATCCAGAATGTTGTAGAAAGTGATGACCAGCAGACAGCACTCACAACACGAAGGGAGACTGCACAATTTAGCTTTTATTGGCTTGCCAAAAATAACTGTTTGTATTGTTATCACAATGCTGACTTTACACTGTTCCATGTGCATGCAGCGCATATTGTAATGCACACCTGTAGGTGCCAATGGGCCCATACAGTTGCCCTTTGTGTTTCACTAGCCATATAGATAAGAATGGAATTTGCTGCAACAAAATGGGTCTCTAGCATTAGGAAGAGTTAAAACTTTTCTGGGTGTTTTTTTTTCTCATCACCTACTGTCACATCTGGGATAATACAGTATAATTGGAGGAAATGGCGGACACCAAGACAGTAAATCAAGGAATCATGTATCACAAGGGCAGGAAATAAGAGAGCAACAGCCTAACAGAGGTTCAAATCCATCTACATCTCACTATAAAAAGTGATTTTATTGCAGTCGCTGCCCCCTTGGAGACTATTCCTATGACTTCCTGATCATGTTCGGCTTTTACTGGGCTTTGTTTCACATATTGTAGTATATAGCTGACCATCCTCCCCACCTACACTAGTTGCTACAGTATAACACAGATAACATGTGCCATTTTCATTATACTATTATTATTATTATTATACAGTATTTATATAGCGCCAAAACGTTTGCTCAGCGCTGTACGTTATAGTGGAGGACAGAACATGAGACAATACAGTAACAATACAATACATGAGGGGTTCGAGGGCCCTGCTCCTTGGAGCTTACAATACTAAAATGTAATATTTGAAGAAAACCTGTAGTGGCTATAATCTTAAAAACCCAGTTTAACCGCTAGCCTACAGGGCACTTACTGTATACCCCCTTCCTGCCGGGCCAATTTCCAGCTTTCAGCGCTGTTACACTTTGAATGACAATTGCGCAGTCATGCAACACTGCCCATATGAAATTGTTAGCATTTTTTTGTGACAGATAGAGCTTTATTTTGGTGGTATTTTATCACCTCTGGGTTTTTTATTGTTTCTTAAACCAAAAACCACTAAAAATTTCGAAAAAAAAAAAAAAATTCTTAGTTTTTGTTATAAAATTTTGTAAATAAGTGATTTTTTCTCCTTCACTGACATGCGCTAATGAGGCTGCACTGATGGGCACCGATAGGCTGCACTGATGGACACTGATGAGGAGGCACTGATAGGCGGCACTGACTGGCACTGATAGGCAGCACTGATTGGCAGCACTGCTAGGTGGCACTAACTGGCATTGATAGGTGGCACTGACTGGCACTGATGGGTGACACTGAAAGGCAGCTCAGATGGGCACTGATATGTGGCATTGATGTGACACTGATAGGCGGCACTGATAGGCGACATTGACTGGCACTGTTAGGTGGCACTGATGCACACTGATAGGCACTGACTGGCACTGATAGGCGGCACTGACTGGCACTGATTGGCAGCACTGATAGGTGGCACTGATGGGTGACACTGAAAGGCAGCTCAGATGGGCATTGATGTGGCACTGATGGTCACTGAAATGTGGCACTGATGGGCACTGGCAGGTGGCATGGATGATCACTGACAACTGGCACTGATGGACACTGACAGGTGGCACTGCTGGGGCTACACAGATCATTAGGGCACACTGATCATCAGTGCTCTGATGATCTGTGTACATGTCCCCTCTGAGGGATGCCAATTACCGACTCTCCTCACGAGCTGTCAGCGTGACAGCTCGTGAGGAGAGAAATGCCGCTAACCGGCATTTCCCTGTTTACATGCGATCAGCTGTGATTGGACACAGCTGATCACATGACCGAGCCAACATCTTCGGCTCTTTCCGTTGATCTGTGATCCGCTATGTCGGAGGGACACAGCGCACCGCCGATCGCCGCGCTGCGTGCTTAGAATGGGAGGACATCATATGACGTCCTCCCAGAACGAGAGAACCACCTTGTGTCCGTCATTTTACTATATGGCGGACGGGAGGCGGTTAAAAAAACATTTGTTCCAGCTCAATGAAAGAAAGAATAGTCCAATTACCTACTCTATTTCAGTGACTGCAGGATCTTAAGACAGCACATAAAATCCTCCATTCAGAAACACTCTAAGAAGAGATCACATTAGTCAGCCGACAACTGGGTGTCCTCATAAATCCAAAAACCATAAAAGATGGAGACTGCACTTGGAAGTACCATTTTGAGTTTGGCAACAAATGCAGACAGCCACTGGCATGCACTCTTCAAATCTGAAAGTGATCCACATACATCCCATCTATCAGAACAAGTAGGGACACTTTAACCCTTTGGGGGTCGTAGATACTTTCCACTCATTTCATAAACACTATATTGTCAAAAGTATTGGGACGCCTACCATTACACGCACATGAACTTTTAATAGCATCCCAGTCCTAGTCCGTAGGGTTCAATATTGAGTTGGCCCCACCCTTTGCAGCTATAACAGCTTCAACTCTTCTGGAAAGACATTCCCATAGAAATACTTCTAAACCTTGTGGACAGTTTGACCATTCTTCCAGAAGTGTATTTGTGAGGTCAGGCAATGATGTCGGACAAGAAGGTATGGCTCGCAGTCTCCATTCTAATTCATCCCAAAGGTGTTCTACCGGGTTGAGGTCTGGACTCTGTGCAGGCCAGTCAAGTTCCTCCACCCCAAACTTGCTCATCCATGTCCATATGGACCTTGCTTTGTGCACTGCTGCACAGTCATGTTGAAACAGGAAAGGGCCACCCCCAAACACCCACAAAGTTGGGAGCATGAAATTGTCCGAAATGTCTTGGTATGCTGGGGCCTTAAGATTTCCCTTCACTGGAACTAAGGGGCCAAGCCCAACCCCTGAAAAAAACAACCCCATACCATAATCCCCCCGCAATCAGACTTTACACTTGGCAAAATCTAGTCAGGCAAGAACCATTCTCCTGGCAACCGCCAAGCCCAGACACGTCCATTGGATTGCCAGACAGAGAAGTATGATTTGTCACTCCAGAGAACACTGCTCTAGAGTCCAGTGGCAGAGTGGGTTACACCACTGCATCCGACGCTTTGCATTGCACTTGGTGATTTAAGGCTTGGATGCAGTTGCTCGGCCATGGAAACCCATTCCATGAAGCGCTCTACGCATTGTTGTGCTAATCTGAAAGCCACATGAAGTTTGGAGGTCTTTAGCTATAGACTCTGCAGACAGTTGGAACTTCTGCGCACTCTAGCTTGCGCTGACCGCACTCTATGATTTTAGGTGGCCTACCACTTTGTGGCTGAGTTTGTTATAATACCACTAACAGTTGACTGTGGAATATTTAATAGCAAAAGAAATGTCACGGATGGACTTATTGTACAGGTGGCAACCTATCACGGTACCACCCTTGGAGTCACTGAGCTCCTAAGAGCGACCCATTCTTTCACAAATGTTTGTAGAAGCAGTCTTCATGCCTAGGTGCTTGATTTTATACACCTGTAGCCATGGAGGTGATTGGTACACTTGAATCCAATGATTTGGAGGGGTGTCCCAATACTTTTGGCAACATAGTGTATCTTTATATAACATAAGGGGTATGTAGACATGTGCGATTTTGTTTAATTACAAATCAAAATTCGGACAAAATTTGCGTTATTCAGAGATTCAGATGTATCCAAATCACAATAGTAACAAATTTCAATAAATCTGAAATAGGAAAACAATGAATTAATTTGTATGCATTCAGATGACATGATGCTAGTTTGGGCCTTTTGTTAATTTTTGACGCATCCGAAATAACGTAACAACATAATGATCTGAATTGATTTAGATCCATTCATTTTTATCCTAGTGAGCATAGTGTGAATATTCTAATAAGAATCTTTTTGTATTGGGGCTGAACTTTAAGAGACCTTTCATTTCATTTGTATGTGTGTGGTCCAACAAACAGTCATTTGGGAATGGAGAAATGAATTCAACCTAATAACGAATACAACCATCTTCTGAAATAACAAAAGAGTAAAAGAACTTCCGGCATGCGCGGCCAGGGACGATGGCGGCCGCACTTTAAGTGAGCTCCGCTCATCCCGGCCAGTGAAGACTCACCCGACACTTGCGCTCGCTAATCTAGACTCTATTACTACCTCGCAGGTGATTGTAGGGGGAGATTTTAATCTGATTGTTTCCCCCCATAAAGACAGGAAAGTGCTTTTTGAGTCCACCCCCTCGAAGCGGCAATGCTCCTCTTCAAAATCTTTCCGTAAATTGATTAGGGAGCATCGTCTCTTTGACGCTTGGCGGATTAAACACCCCCTTCATAAACAATTTACATTTTACTCCAACCCTCACCGTAGTTATTCCCGCCTAGATCAATTTTTTCATCTCTGCCTCTTTGCTCCCACTTTTGGTTTCCTCTGAAATCAATCCCATCACTTGGTCTGATCATGCATCTTTGACTTTAAATCTTTTTTTTCCCCCTGCTATGCCCAAACCGTGTCACTGGCGCCTTAATGAGACATTTCTTTCCACAGACCATCTTAGGAATGAATTGTCACGGGGACTCGATACATACTTTACTTTTAATGTCGGTTCCGTAACTTCTTCCTCATCTCTGTGGGAGGCCCACAAGGCGGTCTTCCGTGGACTCTGTATCTCCATGGGTTCCCGTTTAAAAAAGTCCTCGGCGAGTGCTAGGGCCTCTCTCATACAACAGCTCTCGTTGGCGGAACGTCAGTTACTGAATAAGCCATCTATTTCAGGGCTTCAGGGAGTAACATTTCTACATGACCGAATTAAAGCCCTTGACTCAAGTAAGACTGCACAATCTCTCCTTTGGGTTAGACAGAAATTTTATGAATTTTCTAACAAGCCACACGGTATGTTAGTCAACCGTCTCAAAGCCCAGTCTCCCTCCACGATGCCCGACCTTCTAATACAGCCTGATGGATGCCCTACTTATGATCCTCAGGCCATGGCAACCCTTTTTGGCTCATTCTATGGGAAATTGTATAACTGTTTGACCCCGGACCTTCACCCTTCTCTCACACAACCATCGTTTGATAATTTTTTTGACCCCTTGCTACTTCCGAGAGTATCACCCTCAGACATTGACGCTCTTAATGCGGATATTACGCTAGAGGAATTATTGGATACAATTAAACACCTACCTTCTCGTAAAGCCCCGGGACCGGACGGACTGCCCTACTCCTACTATAAATCTTTTATTGGTACTCTGGCCCCTCATCTCCTATCCCTTTACCGAGATCTATTTAAGGGAATCATACCCCAGACTGACTTCTCCCGTGCATATATCTCGGTTATTCCTAAGCCTGATAAGGATCACTCTATCGTAGATAACTATCGCCCTATTGCCCTACTTAATTCCGATTATAAGATTTTTACTAAAATCTTGGCCAATCGACTATCCGGTATTATTTCCAAGCTCATTCACAGAGATCAGGTGGGCTTTGTACCTGCCAGACAGGCTGCGGACAACACCAGGAGATCTATTGATCTGGTTGATCTGGTCAACCGTTCCTCTACCCCTATTGTGTTATTGAGCCTGGATGCCCAAAAAGCCTTTGACCGTTTAAGCTGGCCTTACATGTTCATGGTTTTGGAGCGATTTGGTTTCAGGGGTTCATTTGTTGCAGCTTTGAAGGCCCTTTATTCATCCCCTTTCTCACAGGTCAGATTAGCTTCCTTTCTCTCACCCCCCTTTCAGATGTCAAATGGCACTCGTCAGGGATGTCCACTCTCTCCCCTGCTGTTCATTCTCTGTCTGGAGCCATTGGCTGTTGCCATCAGGTCGAATCCGGATATCCGGGGGATGCAATCCCATTCTAATGAGTACAAATTATCATTATTTGCAGATGACATCCTCCTCACACTTACGAGTCCCCACACCTCTTTACCGATTTTGCACAAAATTTTGAAACAATTTGGGGCTTTATCAGGTTATAAGGTCAACACGTCCAAAACTGAGGCACTTCCAATACATGTTTCTCCTGTTGTTCTTTCCTCCCTTCAGGCAGCCTTTCCCTACCGGTGGTGCACCCACTCTTTAAAATATTTAGGCACCAACCTTACTTCCTCTTACCAATCCATATACGAGGCCAATTTTCCCCCACTGTTTATAGCAATTTCTCGCTCCCTGAAACACTGGGATGCCTTGCCTATCTCTTTCCTCGGTCGTATTAATGTCTTAAAAATGACCGTACTACCCAAACTTTTATATCTGTTTGCAACCCTCCCCGTACCCGTTCCTATGTCCAAGCTTCACTCCCTTCAGAAATCTTTCTCCTGGCAACCGCCAAGCCCAGACACGTCCATTGGATTGCCAGACAGAGAAGTATGATTTGTCACTCCAGAGAACACTGCTCTAGAGTCCAGTGGCAGAGTGGGTTACACCACTGCATCCGACGCTTTGCATTGCACTTGGTGATTTAAGGCTTGGATGCAGTTGCTCGGCCATGGAAACCCATTCCATGAAGCGCTCTACGCATTGTTGTGCTAATCTGAAAGCCACATGAAGTTTGGAGGTCTTTAGCTATAGACTCTGCAGACAGTTGGAACTTCTGCGCACTCTAGCTTGCGCTGACCGCACTCTATGATTTTAGGTGGCCTACCACTTTGTGGCTGAGTTTGTTATAATACCACTAACAGTTGACTGTGGAATATTTAATAGCAAAAGAAATGTCACGGATGGACTTATTGTACAGGTGGCAACCTATCACGGTACCACCCTTGGAGTCACTGAGCTCCTAAGAGCGACCCATTCTTTCACAAATGTTTGTAGAAGCAGTCTTCATGCCTAGGTGCTTGATTTTATACACCTGT